TAAAATCACCTCAATAAGCTCATTATCTGGCCTCTTCCCGTATAATAGATTAAAAACTTGAAGTTTCCTTAAGATAAACTCCGTTAACTCATCGAAACTCGTTTGATATTTGCTAAACAGTTCTGATTCTAATTTCACACGGCCCTTCACAACTGGAAATGCTTTCAACAATGTTGTCTTAAAATATTCCCAGCTGTACGTCTACGAACCTGGATCCCCCAACAAGAACTTGCCAATTCCTTTGTACCAGCTGAGAGCTTGACCTTTTAAGTTTGTCGTAGCTATCGTAATTTTTTGTAGCTGGTTCTAAAGGATGCAAGGTGAAATGCAGGTCCAGCTGCTCGAAGAAGGTCATTACTGAGCCTTATCCGTCGAACGTTGCTGCTGGTTTCATCGCAGCTCTCATAGTTTCTACGATAAATCTGAATCCTTCCATCGGATTTGTTGACGTCTGAGGGACCTGAAAGGTCGGAGGGGTCAACGAAAATTTTTCGTTTCCTAACGGCATGATCCGTTAAAAGTTTTTCTGGCGGCAATGTAAAGTTCCTTCGTAGAAGTTACTGCAATGTGTCTGGAACGTTGAGAACTGATAAGCGAATAATCGCCAAGTTCAAAAAGATAGTAACGTAAACGTACCAAGGGTTAATTACCCCTTATTATTCAAAATTAATTTAACAGACGACTCCTTCTTGGAGTTACAATGAAGCCTCCACTTGGGCTTGAACTCAAGCATAATAAACAATAAAACTTAACTAAACTAAAAAGATATAGCCAAAGCTATCAAGATCCTAACAGAGTTGGCCCCTTAACGCTAACTAACGGCGAAGCTATCAAGGGCCTAAAGTACGGCCGATCGTAAAAATAGCTTTCGAGAGAGTATACCAAAAGGCTAACGCGCGCTGATTAGAATCTCTAACGAAGTTAAATACTTCACAGTTAAATACTTCTTCTCCTCATTTGCATTCAACCAAGATTCTGAAAATACGTTCTGGAAGTTGTAAGCTGTAATTAACCCTTTCCCCGGTACGCTACCTTCGGAGTTAAGTCGGAGTTTTGATGAAAAAAAAAGGTAGGCAGTCTAATTAGGCCTAGAGGAGTACACAAGTAAAATTTTATGAAGATAGCACTTATCGTTTTAATTCTGTGGGTGTGCCCAAAGTGGCACCATAACTTTTTTTTTCTTTTTTCATAGCGATATGTGTATTTCCTATACAGCATTTAGTATGCAAATCTGCTGCATGTAAGTAACATATATTTCTCTGTTGAGTTATGTAGAAACTAGAAAGCCCGGCGGTCATACGAAATGATCACTGTTTTAGACATTATTAATTGTAATTAAAATGATTTGTGCAAAGGTGTCTACTAATTCAAACTGAATTACCCAGGGCAGGCGGCGAGGACGCCCCTTTGCTTACTGCTCCACGGGGTTTCCCCCCTTCTACTTGCTTAATTGCTAAAGTAGAGGCATGAAAAACCGCTGGCAGTACATTTCTTAAACAGCCCACCGCTAGCTCAATCAGTAAGGTGTTTAAATAGAAATGTTAAATGTTCACATGTCAAAGATCTCTTTTACACAACATTTCTTGTGTAGATCTTTCCATCACTTTAAGCTCGCCTTGCAGAGACCATCCATTATTTTAATTTTACGTGCGTTCTTTCACGAACTCTTGAACGGCGACATAAATTTGACCGTGTCCAAATGCAGGCTCAGTCAAAAAATTCCAACACTCTTAAGCGTTTGCCCCTGAGACTTATGGATGGTCATAGCAAAGGCAAGTTTTACAGGAAATTGTCTACGTCTTGAATTGAAACGGTAACCCTGTGCCGTGGCAACTTCACCCTATTGGCTACTACAGTTATGCAAGCAACCCATAAACTATCGGCGACAAACAGACACTTAAGCCGCATATAATAAAGATATTTATTTCTTCGTTGCCAGTTGCATATTTCCGAATTCTATTATATACAGATGTTAAATTTATTTATTAAATGTTAATGCACCTGCTCTTGTATTTTTAATTTTTGCGGCTTAGCTTTCTCATAATATTCTTCATGCACTGCACTGCACGGGGAATAAAACAATTTACAGTTACGTAAACAACCAATAAACTATCGGCGACAAACACTTTAGCCGCATATAAGAAGATACAGAACATTCTTCTCATATATATGACAAATACGCTTTTAAATTACTGAGGGTGTTCACACATTTTTGTAATAACGATTTTACAAAGATTTATATATAAACACACCTTAGAATTTTATTTCAGTCTGATAGCCCTTTTGTTGAATTTGCTTTCCAAGATAAAAGTACTTTTCTTAAAACATTAAAAGGTTGATTTTATTCCACTCCTCCTTCATTTTCTTCCACAGCCTAACCTAGTGTTTTGGGACCAAATCGTTTAAATCGTTGCCACCAAATACTGTCTCCCTGTATTATATTTAAGAAATTAAATCATGAAGAATCTACATAAATGTACGTATGTTTCTCGCATTGTAATAAAACAACGGTACCTAGAGCCATCTAATTTTGAATGATGTAATCCTACTGCGAATATGAGCCCAAATTTGGAATTTGTTTTATTATCGATTTCATATTTTGTAAAACTTTAACGAATTTTTGCTTAACACATTCAACAATTTAAAAGTGAGCAATGGCAAAACAATCTACGGGGGGGGGGGGGGGGGGGGGTAACCTTTTTATCTCCAGCGCGGGGGAACTATGTATTGCAAATTCTAAAGATATGCTCATTTTAAAATTATTTTGCGACATTGCTGTTGAACTGAATTTTATGATTTAAGTGCAAAGAACATGATATTTAATAAATAAAGGTAACACACAAAATGTTCAAAAAACGCCTCTTCAAACGTAATTTAAAATCTGATTCCCCCCCCCCCCGGCAGTGTATTTTAAGAACTGTTATCTCTTTTTAGCAAATCTCCAATGATTAAATTTAATGTAATATCTTCCTCCTACAAATTCTTCTAAGTTTTTAAGTATACTCTCTTCTGTCTTCAGAATTTTAAAAAGTTTAAACTGCACTGTACACTTTTTTATTTTATTTATGCAAATAATATGATATTACGTAGATCATTCTGAAATTTTTGAGATATTCGCAGGTGATAAGTGGCAGGAAAAAAAACATTAAATTGGGTTAGATTTTAAAATATGAAATAGCTTCGCAGAAGATTGTTTTTTTTTTACTGGCAAGTAGTTTAGCACAGAATAAATTTTAGGCAGAAGGAAAATTGGAATTGAAAAGAGAATATTATCGTGTTATGATTTTTCTATAATTTTAAAGTGAGATTAAACCAAGAAGAACGCATCCAGCGTCTAGCATTTGGAAATGAAAGTCCATGTCGTGCTAATGTATTCATATGGTTTAGAGAATTTTACAGAGATCGCAACTCTCTTCCGGATGAAGAACACGCAGGAAGACTGCTGTCAGCAGTAATCCCTGATAATGTGTCTGCCATATGGAAAATTTTAATCGATGATAATCACTGCACCTACCAAATGATACAGAGGAACTTAGCATTGGATATGCCGCCATACATAAAATTATTCATGAAAAATTGCATATAAAAAATAATTCCTAAAATCATAACTGGTGATGAAACGTAAATAACATTTTTTGATTTTTGAAAGTAAAGTATGGGTCTTAGAAGATGATTCCACGCGCCCAATAGAGAAAAGAAAACGAGCCATCAGAAAAGTAATGTAAGCTGTTTTCTTCAGAACTACATGACTAGTCAAAGCCATCAAGCTGGAAGGACAGAAGACAGTCACACCTAACTGGTACACCACTAAGTGTCTTCCAGAAATTCTCCAAGAAGCGGATGTTAGAGGACCATGGGTTAATCTTTGGATTATGGTAACTTCGTGATTTTTTGGCGACCAACCCTGCTACAGCAACCTGCTAGTTTTTGTTTGGACGCCATTTTGTTTTCATGAAATAAAGGCATGGTTTTTTTTTTTTTTTTTATCAACATTTTTTTCCAACAATCTGCTAGCCGAATTACGCTTATGCTAGAACTTATATGGAACAAAAGTGCTTAATCATAACGAAAATTAGGTGCGAAATTGGGAGAAAGTGCAGAATCGCAAACTGCTTGCCGCTTTTTTAAGAATTGCACCTACACGGTATCATCCACGTACACGTCGACCTATTTTCACTTTAAAAAACATCCCAGAATTTCACAAAAATGACATTGCGCACACTCTTGACATTATCCATGTACACTGCTAAATTCCTAGCTGGTAACCTTTATCGCCTTACCTAAATGTCGCCAAACTACCTGTTACCATATTCCAAAGATTAGACAGACCATGCTCCACCCTTATAATGCACCTGCTCATTCAGCAAGATTGACAGTTGAGTTTCATCTATTTATGACTTTAGGCTATCTTTTAATCTAATAAAGAACTCGCATGGATGTCGTTTTCATTTCGAAGAGAGGATTTATGAAGCTATAAATGTATTTTTTAATCAATTTAATCGATTGAATGGCTTGAGGCATTTAATCTTTGGAAGATTCGCTACAGAAGTGCATTGACGCTGGAGAAGAGTATTTTGAACTTTCCTAAAATTTCGTAAGTATAATTTTAAAAAACTATACGTATCTGAAAAATTTTTGAGTGACCCTCATAATTTATATACTTTATACTTTAAAAATTTGTTCAATGATTTTTTTATTTTTTTAAATAATTTTAATAATAGATTCTTTTTTTTAGGAGTTAAGTTGTAATCTTACATCCTAAGATCCTAAATCATTTTCTTCTTTGAAATTAGAGAATGTTTTCAGATTTTTTTCCTTTATTGATATAACAGTGATTCTGTTCCTTCGCTTCACGCCATTTTAATTTACTAATGGTTTCAAAGGAAAATTCTTTTCCGTAAACCGCCGTAAATCTATACATATAGTAAAAGAATGATATTTAAAAATATTAAATTCTGTTAGTTTTAATGAATAATTTGAAGGAATTTTTTCAATTACAGACTAATTTAGATGACCTGAACCGTGAAAACTGCCAAACTTTTCTCAGTGACTATTTCAAAGATTCCCCAGACAAATGGTGTCTCTTATCATTATTTTATTATTGTTCTGACGTATTGCTCAGATGTATTAAAGAAGGAAAAAATACCTTAGCCAAACAATTTTTCCTGTGGTGTTTGGAATTTATGGTACAAAAAGTATGCAAATGGGTCTATGAGCATGGTGGCTGGGTAAGTAATCTTTGGTTTTTCTCTTTCTTTTATATTACCTTTTTCATCACTCGTCAGTATACAGCAAAAGTCCGATAATCCGGCAAATTTGAGACTTTAGCGAATGCCAGGTTATCAAATATGCTGAATTATCGAATTAAAATTGAATATGATTTTATTCCTATCAGTGAACGCATATAGAAATGAAAAAATTTGTGTATAATTGTATATATAGTCATTACGTCCAAAGGGGTAGTCCAGAAGGGTTATTCGTCTGAAAACGGCTTCTTGGATCTTGGATCATATCTTTACTGCTGGCTTTAACTACTAGAAGCTCTTACCAGTATATTATCATTATACCATAGGCCACAAAGTTAAAAATTTAAGAGGTGTATTTAAAAATACACCGCGCCCAAAGGCGAGATCAATAAATGAGAGAACTCATAAAGTAAGTTTTGCTAAATTGCATATCATGGCAGATTATATCAATGGTGGCGAGAGGCAGAAATGAAAGTCTAAGCTTCTGGGTGCGGGCTAGAAGAGCAGAAAGACGTGATCAGTGTCCGGCATTAAGATTGGTTGAGAAGTCAGAGTTCGAAAAATGAAGTTTTTTGTAGTTTTTGGAAGTAAATAAAGTTCGAACATAGTAAAAGCAACATCTGTCCGTGAATTTAAGAGTTCTATGTCTTTTGAAACACTTGAAAATCATCTAAACTTGCGATATAATCATTAAATGAATAGTAAATTGTAAAAGGCGAAAATGAGGTCATGTGGCTCACTAGGGCTAATGAGTGAGAGTAAGCACTTGGTGTTGACCACGAACTTTGATTTTAAAACACACGATACGAAATAGTAAAAATAAGAAGTAAAAGTAAAAATCTTGGTTAAATAAGTAGTAAAACGAAGACTTCATTGATGAAAAATAAAGTTCTAACTTTGCAAAGTTCATCTTTCTTGAATAGTAACTGAAGAGTAATAGTAAAATAAAAATTTTGTACAATATATACACTACTACCACTTAGAATTGTGGTGGATCGTTCCGAGGTCTTTTCACTACGTGCTCAATAGTAAGGTCATAGTCTGTAAGCGATTTAATCACTTGTGCTAAAAAGATGTGCCACGCACGTCGAGATGCTTTTGTCTCAAAACGTGAGCGACGTGAACACCACGTCGATAGACATTTATCGCAAAAATGAAAATAAAGTGGTGCACACGTCGCCTAACAACGATATTGTTTTATCTCTTGAGTTACAGCTCTGGATTGCACATCGCAGATTCGGAGGGCAACGTAAATGAGACACTTTACCGCTTGTTATATTGTAGCACACGGCACCGCAACCGTGAAGTTAAATCATAGCGCAAGTGGTTAATAGCTTCATAGGGAGAATTTCTCATATCTTCAAAGAAGCGGTGTGCAGAAATTAGGATTTGGTTGTGAATTGGTTTGATATCCAGGTCTTTGTGAATTTGAGAATTTCGCACGAACCAGGGTGCGTTTACTATGCTATGTAAGATTTTGTTTTGAAGAACATTTAATTTTTGTCTGTCTATTTTTCGGGCAGTAGCCCAGGCTGGAACTGCATAGAGGATTATTGGGCGAATAAGTGAGATGTAGATATTTTTCTTAGTACGGAGGTTTAACTTAAGAGTTTCTTCCAATTAATGAGTAGAGAGCAATGAAAGCAGCGTTAGCCTTATTTGTAACATATTGAATATGATCTTTGAAATTTAGGGTTTTGTCAATATAGATACCTAAGTATTTATAGGAGATGGCAACAGGAATATCTTGGATATTGAGTCGGATATTTATATTCACTGGGATATTTTTCCTGTATCTGCGGAAGAGAACTACGCAGAATTTATCAGTATTTAGTTTGATTTTCCAGTCTTGACAAAATTTGTTAATAATGTTGACTTGGAGCTGAAGTTTCTCTAAAGCATTATTTGGACTTCGTGAACTGGTGAGAATGACTGTGTCGTCGGCATATTTGAGTATATTAGAATGAAAAGGTAGAGGCATATCATTTATGAATATTGTAAAAAGCTTCGGTCCTAAAACACTACTCCACTGTAAATCACTTTTTTTTTTAAAGAGATTGCTTCATCACAGTGCACTTGAAAAGTATGATGTTAAATCCAACACATGCATGAGTGAAACTGTCAATTTTTTCACTTGTACTGTAATATACTATTGCAGTTTTAGGTCATTAACTTTAATTTATAATTTGAAGACATAGAACAATGTGAAAATTTTGAATAAGTAACAGACGAAATGACAGCATCACGTGCAAGGCAAGGAAAATGAATGTTTATATTATAAAAAGAATGCGAAGAAACATTTTCGTTTTTTCCCTTTGTCTCTATTATCTTTATCTATTTTCAAATACATTGTGTCAAAATATTCGGTAATTGTAAAATTATTATAATAAGTTAAAGGAATATCAAAACTGCTAAAATTTTTGGCGACCTCCTGCTGCATGTCCCGCGACCCACAGTTTAAGAAACCCTGCTTTAGGCTAAAAATATTTAAAAACAGAATGGTCTGCTGAAATGGTCATTAACACTAGACTTAAATCACATTGAATAAATACCTTTGGAATACTCTCTAAGGATCGTATCACACATTCATTTATTTCAGACAAACAACTGTTTCAAACAATTTTTCTACCAGCTTTACCAATGAAAGACACATGCTTTTTGTTTGATTGTTTTGTTTGATTTAAAATTGTCTTAGATATTCTTATCTTTATATTTAGGAGAAGGTATTCGGAATTATATGGAATACAACAACACTAGTTGCTTTAATGGTACTGACAGGACTTGGAATTGTCGGAATAGGTTGTGGAATAGTGTATATAAGAAAGCACTGGTAACATGAATTTGTAAAACTGAAGAAAGCATTGTATATTGCTTTGTTTTGTTTCAAACATTATGTGTCGGATATTTGTTTTGCCTTCATTATAGTTATTTGGTTAAAATTGTATTTATTTTTTTTTCATACTCTGCAATGCACCAAAATATTGTGTAATAAAAACTGCATAAACAATTAATTAAAATGTAAATTATTTTTACAAAATCTGAACAATGCTTCCTTAATTTTGAAATGATAGTTATACTTAGTTTTGCTTTAAAATTTATGTTTATTTATTAACTATATTCTAATTGCACTCTTATTCTTTTTATGTTAAATTAAACATCTTGGTTAATTTTAGTTCATAAGACATTAGCAAATTTTGGCAAAACTGTTACCACCATGACAATTATCAAGGTGATAATTTATACGATATGCTAATTTTCTTCAGTATTGGAAAACAAAATTTGTCTGTGATATCCAAATATTGTAAACATCAAAATCGACTTTGTGCATCCAGCTGAAGTTTCACCAAATTTTTGTATGCTTTCTGTTAATTAATTGACATAATTTTAAACTAATGAACAGCATGTAATTTATATAGTAGCTTATTGCACATTGGAAAAGCAATTAGAAATCTTTTAAGGCCTTTATTTTTAAATTTTCAAATTTAATCTATATATCGTAATTAAATTCTGATGTGCCTTCTGTGTATAAACTTTATATGCATTTTATACACCATAAATATGACCCCAGTTCAGTATTACTTCTATTGCAAATATGATTTCAGACTAAAAGCATTTCAGTTAGTCTTTGCTAATGAGGAAATAAAATGTTTTTTTGTAATAAATTTTTCAATCTATGATATTTTTAAGTTTTTAAATGCAACATGTTTTTAAGTTAATGGTTTATTAGAAATTATTTTAAAAATATGATAACTAAAACAGATTGAAAATATTATTTACTTTATCGAAATTCTAAAACGTAAATGCAACGTTTAGCTTTATTTATCAAACTAATAAAAAGCATAAAAGAATATTAAATAAAAACATTTTGGAAGAACAAATAATACTTATTTCATGAGAAAGCTATTAATATTAGTTAATTTATGTGGAATGGAAAGATTAGGGAAGAAAAGAAATCATAAAAACAAATAATGCTTTATCTGGAGTCAACTTTAAAATAGAACTTATGAAACTTTAAAATAGAAATACAAAATATTCACCAAACAAAACGAAAACTCTTCAAGTTCCATACCTATTCAGCTTAGTTCGACGTGGCCTCCATTTGCTGCCCTACACACATCTAAACTGTATTCAAGTTCTTCCCACACACGGTTAAGGACGTCAGGTGTAACAGAGTGCTTAACGCCTGTGATTCTTTTTTAAATGATTAATGTGATTGATACACTCACTGTACACATGTTGCTTCACATAACCCCACAAGTAAAAACGTAATGGCTGATCTGCTGCTGCAGAGTTTGTAGTGTTGCATCACCACCTGTGTGCACATCATATTACGAAAACTGGAGAGTTTTCCATTTGTTTGATGAAGATTTCACATTTTTATCTTCTTTTGTTGTTTTCCAGTGACCAGTCAAATGTGCACCATGACTTTACAGACACAACGCACATTAATCGTATTGCATAAAATATCCATTACACAAAATAATAACATATATAACAACAATATTCACATATATGACAATATACGAGTAAACTTATATAAAAATGAGATTCATAGAAATAAATCCACATATCACAGTATGCACATTACAACAGATAATACCACTTTAATGATATACATACAAAAATAACAATGCAAAACATATTACTAGCAAGCACAAATACCAAGTCACTTGATGCCATACACACTATTAATGTAGTTTTGAATATGGAGCGAATCTCAGACAGACCAATATTATTTTATTCTAGGTTTATAGACCAAAATGTCCTATCAGGCAGGTTTTTTAAATTTCAAGACTCCATTAAATTAATTATGGGTTTAATTTTACCATCTTCCTACTGGTCTTTCCTGACATCTTCATCATCCCATAGGTCAGATGATGTTGAAGTTGTAATTTGATGTGCAACGGGATTAACCAGCTCAAATTTCCTTTCGAGCTCAGAACAATATCAGCAGATATCTGGGCAGGGCTTCGCCATTTCAGTGTGATGTTCCTTTTCGATGGCAGTGATGCCGTATTCCTGCAGTCTTATCTGGCTACTTAGACTATAGGATTCTTGAAATTTAAGAGACAGATCAATGATGCATGATATGTGTTGAGCGGGAATTTTCTGCCATACAGATACTTATAAGACATTTCTGCCGTAGAGTAGTAGCTATGGCATGCACCTTTTTCCTGGTGACATAATAATTTCTCTCCGGATTATATAGACTCTTGCTCCAGTATGCTATGACATGTTCTTGACCGTTTATTTTTTCACACAAAACAGCATTGACATTCTCATTGCTTGCATCTGCTTTAAGATTAAATGGCTTAAACAAAGGATTGTTGAGCTGAGGATACATCAAGATTGTTGCAGATATTCAAGCCTCTCCTTCAGTTTGTAAAATGGATCTTCAAATTTTTTTGGTCCACAAGAAATTCATCACCAGCCATTGGTGACATTTTAGAAGAGGTGTACAGGCATTCAGAAAGTACCAATATTATTTAAGGTACTTGTTAAAATTTATTGAATCTCTATTCCTATAACTATTACTTTTACTTGTTCGATAAATTGAATCTTTGAAATATGTCCAAACTTTCAACTCACTCGGGGCCTTAATCTTGATATTTAAACAAGATTTGTATACATATCTGTACACTGAAATTAAGTATCATTAAAGACTTTTTAAGGATCATTAAAGAAAAAAAATTAGAGACCTATCATCAATGGGGAATTAAATAAATTAAAGCAATTATCTATACCTGAACTTCACTTCTGCAATAACATTCTAAGAATAAAATAAATCTGTACATGAGATTCATTATTATTAAACATAATCTAATACTTAACCATAAAACAAATTTGAGAATAAAATCAACTTTGTTAAATTAATCAGATAATTAGCATTAAATTACAAAATTCACTTTTCTATTATTTATATTTTACACTTGAAATTGTCTCAAAGAAGATTAGTAACATTCAAGTTTTACTAACAATTAGTATTATGTTGATTCCTTTTTTTAAATGCCTTATTTTGTCATGTATTTGATCAGTCCAGAGGTTTATGCAAATTTCATTTTAAGCAGTATAGGTTAAAATAAGAAATAAAATCATAACCAGCATGTTTTGTAACAGAAGCTTGGCTGCCACCGCTGTTGCTTCATAAGAGAGAGACATTGATCAGAACACACATTAATGCATGACACTGCCAGATTATATGCACTCTAAGTTAACTGTACTGTATCTGTCTGACCCATTTAGAGCCATAGGATTCTGCAGAGTTGCTGGAGTCGTAATCCAGTTAATATACAGTATTTAATATACAGTTTCAATAGCCACTGAAGCATAAGATGTGATAAGTTATTTTATACTATTTAAAGTATTATTAGCTGTAAGGAATAAACTTTTACATTTTTATGTTACATTTTACATTTACAGTAACAATTAAGGAAAGACGATTATTCCCCTTAACACTTAGAGATAACTTATAAAGGTGAGAAATTATTTACAAATACTTATACAGTCAAAAGTCGTTAATTCGGACACCCATAATCCGGACCTCAAAGCTAAAATCTTTCTTCTGCACATTGACGCGTGCGCATGAGCAAGACGTTTTACTATGCGCCCAAGACTTTACGACTGCGCATATGCGTCTGCGCAAATGCGTAGAACACGTTTTCGCGTGCGCGTTTAATGTATAACGGACGGTATAAGCTAAAATTATCTAATTATCTATTTCAGTTAATGTCGCAGATTGCATTGTTCCTAAATCTTCTAATTGGATCTGGCTTACTATTTTTTGCAGACTGTAAGAGCAGTTTTATGAAAAGTAAGCTTGAACTTTCGATTATGTCAAAAAGAGTTTCCTATTCTGGAGCTGTCCAAAGGATCTACAAAGCGAAAGTATGTTGCGATGTCCATCAAACAAAAAGTGGAAATTGGCTGCAAAAAGTGGATAAAGGCATATCCTTTGTTTCTCTAACCATTCCGAAATCTGTTTATCCAATTTCACGCTGCTTCTGCGGGAGGGGGGGGGTAACGTCGCGGCGCACGCAATGAACTGGAAGTTGATCTGTCAGCTCTATCCTTATATTCAAGGCAGATGTTTTTTTTTTTATTCGGCTTATAATTTCTTACTAAATGTAGTATTTAATTTCGATGTACTTCGTCTTTGATATGATTTAAATCAAATTCCTCGTCATTATAAATATCACGAATACAAATCAAATAGTTTTCTGGTTGCAATTTTCTAATTTCGGCTATGCGTAAGGTATGCTTTACGCATCCGCGCATTAAAAGAAATGTTTAATAAAGTAAACAAATAAATATTAGGCTTCTTTTTTGGTAAATTTTGATACCCTTTAGATCATAATTGCTCATTATTTTATAAATTACGGTTTCATATTTTTAATTTTATAATTTCTGCATGCCATCTTACCAGATTTAAACTGATGATCTATAATCCGGAAAAAATCGATAATCCGGAATCGCCAAAATCCCGACGAGTCCGGATTAAAGACTTTTGACTGTATACATATTTAGATATCCTGAGTCATTACAGATTCACATGGACACTATTATTATTATTTTTTCATTTCCAAAAAATATCTATTAAAAGCACTATTCAAATCCTAATCTAAAAACATTTTACAGTTTAAAATACAGATAATTAAGCATGTAATTTATGACATTGATTTTAAATGATATTAGAATAACTAATTTATAACTACACAAATTAAGGTACTAAACTTGTATGATTCGTAGCAACAACACACAACAAAATATTCACGCATCTTTTTAATTTGAAAATTTTCAAGACATTACGCTAATTTACATGAATTTTTTTCTTTTTAACATCTTTTTTGTTTGAATAAATAAATCAATGTCCTCACTAGCTTTTTGCTTCATCCCTTAATTTGTTCATAGTTTAAAAATATATACCTCTGAAGAACAATTTTCTTTCTTTTTAAGTAATCAATTTCTTTCTCAATAAGTGTCTTTTACATTTTAGAATTTCAGATTTAATTTAAGATTTATGTTTTCTAAAATATGGCACATATTTAGAATGTACAGAAGATGCTAATTTTATTTCTTGAATAATATGAGTGTTGAGAAAAAATATGAAATTATACAAGGTCAGGGCCATCACCAGAGTCAGTGTAGCAGAATTTTTAGAATTTAGGGCAGAGATTGGCCAGCAGAATTTAGGCTCCATAGATATTGCACAAGGTAGCAAAATGCCCTGTGTACAGTTGCAGTGACATACAACATGTTTTAAATTGTCAGTTTTTTAATTCCTTTATTAATAGAAAAATTCCTTTGTACAGATGCCTGTCCATGTGACAAGATTAGAACTATTTTCCCAATTTTCATGCTTGTATCTAGTAAAAAGAACAAATATTTTCTTAAAACATCCATTCGTTACATGGTAATACCATGAAAACATCTTTCATTTGGTCATATTTTTCTGAAATTGTAGATCTGTAAACCTTGCTTGCAAATCCTTCTAAACCTTCCAAGGTGCAAGATCTTAAAATTATCCCTGCCAACTCTGTAAGAGCAAAAGGTCAGAAGATTTTTGATGAAACAGATACATATTTGAATATTCTGAAATAACTAAACGAGGGGAAAACTCTAATAAAAAAATATAAAAGAAGAAAATTTTAATTAATTCTAAAATAAGTTTTAATAAGTAGCTAATAATAATTTAATAAGTAGCTAATAATAATCTGAAAAAAGCTCTAATAAGTAGCTTTTTTCAGATTTTATTGAAAGTTCCCCGCCACTGCAAATGTCGTCTATGCAAAGAGTTTGCGTTGGCGTGTTTAATCTGGTCGGCCTAATGATGTTGATGAGAAGTGCCTCGGAGAACTTTAGAAAAAGATCAGTATGAGAGCTTGCTAATGAGGTAGACATTAGTGCCATGTCCATTAGTCACCCTATGCATCACATAAACTTGTTGAACACTGCGCAAAAAAAGGGGGGACAGTTCTATATCTCCTGTTCTACTGAGCCGATTGACAAAATTCAAATTGCGTTTTTCATGTCTCGAAAGCGCGACTTAGAATATATATTAGATTTATATATAGCATTGTTCTAACATAGGTATTTTGACACAAAATCGTAATTTTTCTGAAATAACATACCAATTTTTTTCTATATTTCGAGTTTACGACTCAAATTATGCCTAGATATTAAATTTTGTAAAAATTGGTGCACAATTTACGGAGAAATTCAAAAATTTATCTTGGCGAAGAATAATTCACTTGGCTAACTTCTTAATATATAGAACCAATTTTCCTTTCCCTTCCATTATGCCGGAAAGGAAAAAAAGGCACCTCATTCTTAGCTTTTTACATTGTGTACGAGCAGAAAAAAAGTCACATCGTTTCTACTTCCAAATAATTTTAGCAGAGTCTTTAAACCACATCTGATGTTTTATCACTTTCAACAAATGTGTCAAATTTTAAAACGCGCCAGTATATAAATTCACGTATATCTTCGAAAATTTTGAATAAAAAATTTTAATTTTTTGCAGGTATACTTAGAAATATGTCTACTTTAAAATGATGGTAAAAAATTTTATAGATTATAATTCAAATTTGTTTTTGAAAAATTCATAAAAATTATTTAAAAAATTTTTTTTAAAAAAATCATAAAAAAATGGGTGAATTTTATTTGGAAGGAACCTGAATTTCGAAATGTGAAAGGAAGAATCAAATAAGCTTAGTAAAAAAAAAAAAGAGAGATTAATAAATATATACCAAACTCAATTAACATTGAGGAGCAAAAATTTTGAGAGCTAATTTTTTAAAAACTACTCGTGTGATTTTTACAAAACTTGGTAGTTTGGCGTAATTTCAGTCGCAGAATTGAAATATGGAAAAAAAAATTAGTATGTTATTTCAGAAAAAGTCCGCTTTTGTGTCAAAATACCTATATTAGAACAGTGCTATATATAAATATAATACATTTCGAGACATAAAAAACGCAAGTTGAATTACGTCAATCGGCCCAGTAGAATGGGGAGATATAGAACTGTCTCTTTTTTTTTTTTCGCAGTGTAGAAGTTCAATTGCTGGGTGCCGTGCCGCATCAGTTGACTTAAACAGATAAGGACAGATGTGTTCGGCCTGCTCTAATCTGCTCGAATATCAACACAAGGACAAAATTATGGACCTGATTGTCACATTATGATGTGGATTTACTTCAACAATGCAAGACATAAGGGGGGTTGGTCTGTACCCGATGAGAAGACCAGCAGTGCCACAAAGTGCAATTTGACTAACAAAAAGGATCTTGCTTTGTATCTAATGGGACTGCCGTGGTATTATCCACAAAGAATGTCTGGGAAAAGGTAAAATCCTCGACAGTAAGGTGTTCAGCGAGATGCTGGTCTGCACTGACGCTGCTATCAAGGAAAAACATCAAACTGTGTTCCGATGCAAAAAGGTAATGTTCGATCAAGATAATGCAAGACCACATGACACAAAACAGCATTCACCAGCTGAACTCTGTACGGACTTGACTGGGATCTTTTGCTACACCCACCATATAGCCCTGACACCGCTCTTTCGGATTCTTACCTTTTTTCACACCTGCAGCTACATCTTGCTGGTGCTATCTTTCATTCTACACAGAACATCCAAAATGAAGTTGATCTGTTTTTGACTCACAGTCACCAAGTTTCTCTGCTGAAGGCTTTGAAAAACTATCAAAAGCTTGCAGACATTCATAGATTTGGGTGGTGATTACAACCCACAGTAAAGGTACTGCTTTCATGTTTCCCCCTAACTTTATTAAGAACGTTTTTTGGTGGGAAAACTTTCGTTACAACCAGATACTTCAGAAACTGTGTTTCATAGCATTTGTTATTTTATTTATTTTTCAGAATTAAAATATTCTCAAGTCGAAAAATGGAAAATAATGTCATTTCAAAATATGAAATGTAAAAAAAAGAAGTATTTTAGTTTAATGATGTTTAAACAACTTTATTACGTCTATAAAAAAATCATCAAAAAATTCACATATATCTGGACAAAAAATTTTGTAATTGATTAATTTGTAATAAGTACTGATTTCTAATAAATTGATCTAGAAATCATCAAATTTAGTAACACATAATAAAATAAATCGTATCTCAAAAAGGGAAAGGATGTTTTTGGTTAATATTTTATGACCTCTTCATTCTCAAAAGAAATAATTCCAAAATGTTAATGTTTCAAAAATCGTTTCCAAAAAAAAAAAAAAAAAAAAAAAAACTAGGGACTTTTAAGTACTTTTAAAGGCAATACAAACCCTGTTAAATTAACTCATTCTGTAAAAAAAAAAAAAAAAAAAAAAAATTATACATGTCATTTCTAACTTAGGCTCGAATTCATGAAGATGTGTGCTCTTGATTGATTACAGCCATAAAAGTGGGAACTGATGATGTTCAGCTTCTGACAACAGTACGATAATTTTGCACTTTTTCCAAAAACATAACAGAAATTAACTGCCAGATTTCCTTAAATCCTCCACAAAAACATACTCACTTACATGATATAATTTGTGTACTTTTGTCTTAATTAACAAATCTAGTTTCTGAAGATGGCTGCCCGGACAGTATAAATGGTTAGGAAGGCTGGCTGCAATACCGAAGGACCTGGTTTCGAATACCGGAGAAGGTATGGATGTAAACTGTGTGTCCCCTCATCAGAGGTAAGGATGGCTACTTATTAGGTGCCTAATAAATAATAAAATGACCACCACTTCTGGCCTTAATAGTGGAAAAAGCCTAAATATGACTAATGAACGTCAATAACAATATGCATATAAAAATATAAAATTAATGCTAACAGTAAGTGAGGCTGAACAAGATTTCAGTTTTTGCCAGTTAACTGGACTAAAAATATATAATTGAAATGCTTATCAAATATCATTAGTAACTATGAATATTTTATATTCCTCAAAATAAAAACAAGAACTGCGATAAAATTTCTCACTGGACTCACTTGCATTTTTCTATCAATGTAATGTGTATTATAAGTATGTTTAAATAGAATAATAAAATGTTTAAATAAACCATTTATATATAATTATTATGTGCAAAATAAATTTACAGAATAGCATCAATCAGATAGAAATAGAAGCCAATTTTATTTTACAAAAAAACCATATTTTAAATTACACAAAAAGAACCATGAAAAAGTCAAAATTTGCTTCAAAAATCAATTTTGGTGTATCTGTTTTGAGCTCTTCTCTTTTCCACAAATTAGAAATGTCTAAAAAGGAAGGAAACAACATATTTACCAAACAGAACATCAGTGTTATTTTTTTTTTTTTTTTTTGCTTCCTGCACTTTGAAAAGTGGAAAGGAAGTCCTGTGTTTCACTGTCCTCCCTTTTGCGTTTCTTTCTTTCACCTGACTTGATGCTTGTTGGAGGAGTCGGAGAGGGCTCACTCACATTTGGAGCTTCTGGAAGTGATAGGCTGGAAATGACATCCTGGCTAATGACAGGAGAGGGCTGCTCTATACATTCTTCCTCCTGAAAGGAATATTAAATATTAGTGCCCATCTGTTTTTCAAAATCTAACAATACATTCACATAAATAAACTACTAAAAAAATTTAAGGCTGATCCTTGATGCAGGATCTAGCTGTAACAACAAAATGTAGAGCCCTTGGTTAACTAGATGCTATCACTGCAATGCTTTATGAGGGCCTTAGCCAAAAATAATAACACTAATAACAAAAATCGCTCTAAGGCACAAGGCGTTTTGCTTCCGGAGTACCTTTGCAAATAAATGCAATAACCTCCACAACTTCGCTAAGAAAATAAATTGAGTAATTAAGAGTGAGCATAGCTAAAGTGAAGAACGAAACTGTTAAGGGTTTAAAAACCAGAAGTGAATGAGAAGTCCACTCAAGGGACGAGAAATTCCTTCGTCTTTCAATTTCGCTTAGGAAGGGTCAAAGACCTCAAGCGATAAGAAAGATCGAAGAAGAATGCAGGAGATTTCTGCACGCTTTGCGTGGATGAAATCGAGACAGTTGAAAGAAAATGGGGTGAGAGGAACTTGCCTCCGGCCCCGGGAAAGGTTATGTCGTAGCTACTCTGAAAAGCAGCAGATTCGCTAATGCCTTGGGATGAGCGAGGGAAGGGAGCTGGTCCGAGGACCAAAGATGGCTGAAGAGGGGGCCAAAAATGGCAGAGGAGAGGAGAGAAAGGGTAGGTGGGGGGAGTTTGCACTCCGACCACCCGCAGGGAACCGTTAGATGCTTAACTGCGAAAATAACTGGAGAACTTTTTTGAAGCGCGAGGAGTGGGTGGGTGGGGAGTAGTATTGGCTATTGTAAAGGAAAGAAAAGCTAGGAGAGGAGAAGTTTAACGGTAAAATTTAAAGGGATTATTTTTGCATAAGAGTTAGCTGGTTAGAAGTTCAGGCTGGATTCTGTATTGAAGAAATGCAAGCTTGATGACTGTGGCTGAAAATAAATCATGAAAACTGTTGTGAGGATTGGTTTGGAGCTTCAACTGATTTATTAAGGAATAAAGTAATTAATTTAAGGTAAATTAAGATAAGTTAGGTATGTCTGGCAGTGGTGGATTAAATATATGGAGATTAATAATTGCTGGTGATGACTTTATAATTATTTAGAATAAAAGGTTGATTAAAGCGATTTTTTCCCAAGGAAAGTTCTGTTTTTTAAAATTAATTTCTTTGATAATTGGCAAAGGTCATGTTCCAGAGTAACTTCGAATCGAGATAAACTCCTAGATATTTATAAGAATCCACCCAGGGTATATCCTCTTCAAAGAGCCTGAGTGGTTGGAGTTGATTATGGACATTCCTCTTCCTGGAAAAGAAAACTGTGGCGGCACTTTTGGCAACGTTAATTTTAATTTTCCAGATAACAAGCCAGGACTCTAAGTCTGACAAGTACTGCTGAAGGTGCATGAGAGTAAGGTGCAGTGATGAGTGTTGTGAAATGATGGCTGTGTCGTCTGCATAAAGTGCAAGATCAACACTGGGTGATTGTAGTATATCGTTTACATACAAGTTGAAAAGTAATGCGCTAATTATTCCTCCCTGTAGTACACCCGCCTGGATAGGTCTAGGAGAAGAAATAGAGTTTTTAACTTTGACAGAAAAGGAACGATTACTGAGATAAGAGTGCATTATGTGCACAAAGTTAGCCGAAATTTCAAGTCGCATGAGCTTGAATAAATTCCGATATGCCAACACCTGTCGAAAGCCTTTGCTACATCTAAGTAAACAATAGCTGTAGGCTTTCCACGCGAGATCCTGTGTGAATGATTTCAACTACCCTCAGTAGCTGGGTCTGAGTTGAGTGTTTAGCTCGAAAACCGAATTGTTGAGAAATGATTAATTCGGCTTCGGCAGAAATCATTCAGGTATCTAAGCAGTATAGCTTCAAATTTTACTAAGTGAAGACAGGAGGCTGATCGGTCTATAATTTGAGGGACCTTTGGGTCATACCAGGTTTAGAAAGGAATTACACAGGCATTTTTTCCAGCTATAGGAAGTATTTTAACCTGAGCATTGATTTCATCAAATGCTAGGTAAAATACAATTTGACAGGTAAATTCTTAATCATGCGGATTAGAAATCCTATCTAGGCCGGTGCCTTGGTAGGTTGAGATTTTTGATAAAGGTAGAAATCTCAGTCATGTTGTGATAATGGGTTCCCAGGTTGATCTGAGGAGAGAAAAGTTTCAACTTGGTGTTGGACTCATGCGTGTGGTGCACAGGAATCGAACATAAGTCCAGTATTAGGTGAGAATTGTGTTTGAAGACTGTCCGCAATGCGTTCAGCCTTCTCAGGTCTGAGTGCCATCCGGTCATTGACCGTGCCCATTAGGGGGGGAATGTCGTATCTGGGTTTGCGGAGCCGAGCGCTAGCATCCCAAAGGCTATTATTAAAGTCTTGAGGGACTTAAGATAGTTGTGTATTATCGTCTGGAAATTTCTTAATTCAGACTTAATCTCGTTATGGAGCCTCGCAGTTGAGTTGGATAGATTAAGACGTGTGTTTTGCCAATCTCTGCGAAGGCGGTTTTAATTTGATTTTTTCTTTAATATTGGCCGGTAATTTGGAATAATTTGTTTTAAATTTGGGTAAGAAGCCGATTAAATGCGTTTATGAGGGTTTGGTTGAGCCTTTGAAGCAGAGTCAACTTCCTGATATTGCTAATTTGGATAGGGGGGAGAATCCCAGATTCCAAAACATCCAAAGTCATCCCAACTTGTTGAGATTTGCCCGGTAAATTTTCATTGATTTTGTTAGGTTAAGGACGAGGTTACCGGTAGTGGTCGAAGAATCCTGTAATCACCTCATCGAATAAGCTAAAGGAATATTTTTGAAAAGAGCCAGATCAATAATTGAGGGAGCACCAATACCCCCAGGAAACTGAAATGGGTAGGTGCATTGGGCGCAATAATTTGGATATGGGCGTCCTGAGCCCAGTTTTTTAGTTTATCGCCATAGTTGTTGGCAGTGACACAATCCCACTTCTATGACGAGCATTGAGATCTCCTGCAATATCAGGTTATTAGAAATTCCACTAAATTTTCTGAGATCGGAGATAAAGACAGGTCCCCGTCTCGGAGGCATATAGCAGGACGCTATTGCTATAGGGGGGCAATTTGGAAGATAAATTTGGACAATTGTTGCCTCTAAAGCCTCTAACTGTAGAGTAGGAATTCCTGAATGTTTTATGGAGCGTTTTATATAAATGGAAGTACCGCCACTAGCTCGAATAGTGTCACTGTTGCTATCCGCTCTGTCATTGCGGTAGCAGATGTAATTCGCGATATTCGCACTAAGTCCCTCAACCAGGTGTGTCTCAGAAATGACGAAGAGGTCCAAGTGGTGCTCACTAATATAATCCCAGACTTCGTGTATTTTTTTCTTTATGCCGTTGGCATTCCAGAATCCAATTAGAAGAGGGTCCTCTGCTGTCGTGGTGTTGAACTTGAGGCCTTAGTTGAGGAGGCTGCAATATGCCTCGTAGATGCAGAAGGCTCTCTCCGGCCCAGATGAGACAAGTCTGAGCTTCGGCAAGGGCCTCCCGGAATGCTTGTAGAAGGATTGAATGTTGAATTCCGAACTCCCGTGATATTTGAAATACGCTGCGCAGGGTGTCTGTGCAGCTTCCATCGTCGGGAGTCGGGGCTGGAGCCTGGGCTGTTAGCTGCGGCGTCTGGAGCGGATGCTGCTCTTGCGTCTGGTTTGTAGATGGGTTGAGTCGTTGAGGCTTGGGTTTTGGAAGCCCGGGATTATTTTTACATGTCCGGAAACAACTAGAGGAGAAATAGGGGGTCCGTGCTGCTGAGAGGAGCAGGAGTAGGAGCAGGTACAAATTTTGAATTCCCGGCACCTTGACCAAAAGTTGGGGGTTTTTTGGCTTTATTTCTGTTGTTTGGATGATGTGGACAGTGGAGCCAGTTACTGGCACGACTGCCAAGGCAATTTTCACAGGTGTTTGGTTGATCAGGATCTTTTGTGCACTGTGCTGCATAATGCGGACCAGCGCATTTTAGGCACTTGATTGGGAGAGTGCAGACTGCAGAGCTGTGAAAAAAGCCCTGACAGCGCCAGCACTGGCTTCGGCCTTTTCTGCCGATATGCTTCTCGATGTTAATATCCAGTCCCATCATTCTTGTCTCTTCAAAAATGTCTAATGCATTTAATGAAGGGTTGAGTTGCACTAAGAATAGAGGCATGGGGGTGCCGGGTTTTGTGTTTTCTAAACTGAGTCACACTCAGAACACTATAGCCAATATATGCTAGCTCTTGAGCTATTTTGTCCGTCTTAGCAGTGTTAGGAAGGCCCCTAATGACTGCCTTGATCGGACGGTCTTGCTTGAGGTTAAAGGATTTGTATTGTGCACCGTGCGTATTTAAGATGGATGCAACGGTGTGGTAATCATTCTCTGCTTGTACGGCAATCCTTAGATACTTCCCTTTCATCTGGCATTGGGCCGATGGGACAGCATTTTGGATTACCGTAACTAAGAATTCAAAGTCTTTCGGGTCGACGAAGAAGTATGGAATTCTTCGCGACCGGGTGGAGGGGGAGTACTACTCTCTCCTTGCTCCTCTGACTCATTGCTTTGAGATTCTACTGCTGCTGCAGGAACAGTGTCAGCTTGAGGGGGGTTCGTTCTCTCCGCGCTCGCTCCAAAAGGAGGGGAGGCTTCGAGAAGCGACCGGTTCTGGCTGGTTTAACTGCTGTTTTCCCGCGCCTTTAGAGATTAGATGGCGGGGTGGCTCAGAAAATCCTTCGCTGTCTGTAACTCTGAGTTTTTTTGATTTAGGGTTGGTAAGACTTTCTCTTTTATTGAGATTAAGGTTTTGAATTTTTTGGCTGGTAGAATTGATAATTTTTTCAGTTTGCAATTTAGCTGGTGCTAAGATATTTTTCTTTTCAGAATTTTGAGATAAATTTAGTTTCGATTTTTTGGGAGAATTATTTTTGCTAGCTGAATTAATTGACTGAGAATTTGGTCTATGATCATAAGTAAGTCTGGATTTATCCAAGGAATCATTTTTGGGATTTTTAACAATTGCAAGAATTTTGCTAATGCATTCCTCCTCTGAAGGAGGAATGCTGAAGAATGCTGAAAAGTGGCAATTGTAAACGTTTGGCAAGAGAGGTCAGAGAAGATAATACGACCTGGCTTTCCTGCTGTACTTGCTTCAGATTAAAGTTAGCCAAAGGAGTGGATCTCTTGCTTCTGGCAAGTGTCTGTTCCAAGTCAGTGAATCTGGCTTTCAGCTGGTATAATTGCTTGAGCTCGATGATGAGGGTGTCTGGATCAGGAACCGGAACGAATTTGGGATCCGGAACAGGAATACTAGAAAGAGATTCAGGAACGGCTGAAGATGATGATGAAATTGTTGAGAGATGCGGTGATGATGTATCCATCGCATTAAGAACGGGGTTGCCGGCCATTGCTTCCGGCTTCGCGGTGTTAACTTCATCGGGTTGGGAGCTCATGACGGAACGTCTTTCGCCCACGGTGGTTGCCCTGCGAATCAAAAAAAAAAAAAAAAAATCTCTCTATAATCAGAAATAAAATGCCAAATTTTTCTTGCAATCATGTGTAGAAATATAGACATATTATAACTAAATATAAAATGATAATGCAAATACAGTAAACCCTCTTAACACAAACTTGCTCAAGGTGAACATACAGTTAACATGAAAAAAAATATGGTGTTGGCAAGCGACGTATATGATCATAAGATGTTTTATTTGTTAATGCATATTTTGGTGAGCACAAGTTACTGCTTTTTAGTCTGTTGCATCATTAAATTTTATCACTTAACAAAAACTTTGAAAGATTTAAAATTTTTTCGTATTGTTTCTCTGACAGGCCTGCATTCAGAAATGTTCCGTCCCGTTTAATTGGAAACCTCTTATGACAGTGGGCAGGTATGCAGCCTATAAAACATATTATCTGAACTTAAACAATGTAAAAGTTCACTTTTTCACCAAATACAACATTCATCTTCAAACTTTAGATGAAGGAATTGCTGAAGTTATGAAGAGGTCTTATTACAAGCAACTTGCAAGAGTTGGATTTTGTGCAATTGAAAAGAAGACAGAAATGCAAACGTAAGTCTGTTTGATGCAGTCAAAGCTATCGGTACACCCTCAAAGTCCATGTCATCACAATGCATACAGAACTGCTTCAGCAGCTTGGAGACAAAGACAAATATCCTGTTGATTTAATTTTAAGAAATGAAATAGTCTATAAGACATTGAAAATCTCAGTGTTAGTTCTGAGTAGGTTATTAGTGCGGATGAAAATATTGCTGTGTGTGCTTCAGTGGAAAGTACAAGCAGTTGTGCCTCAGGTGCAAGAAATGTCATCAGAAGAAAGTGTGAAGGACAAGTACCATTTTACTTACCAAGAAATGTGAAATGCTCTGAACACTAGATTATTTCGCTGCAGCATCCAAATAGACCACAAGTTTTAGGAAGCCAAGAATATTGCTGGAACTTACCAGGCATTTTTGTTCTCTTCTGCAACAATGCCATATACCAGAATTTTTCACCAGAAATGAACTGCAAGTGCATCTTTTCAAGTTACAGTGCAGTAATTAATGTACTGTAGAGTTTTCTATGACAACATGCATAATATGTACTTATGTAACTGTATACTGAAAATGATTTGTGTCAGAAAAAGCATTTCAAAAATAAAGTTTGAGTCTCCAGTTAAAATGAAGCCCTTTAAGTTTTTAGCTCCTTGAGTTTTGCTTTCACCAGAGTTTACTGTAACATAAAATTTTTACTTATTAACGCATAATATAGCAAAAAAGTAAATTATCTCAATCAGAATAACATACACTGTGTGTTTACATCGCATACAGTACAAAAACAAGATTACTGGAGTCAGTGGTCTGCCACTGTGGTTATGACATGCAACAATAATTCTAGATATTAAAGAAATGCTGTCATTTTATATTTAAACCTATACATGCATAGCATATAAGATATTTAAATTGCCAAAATTATTTCAATTAATTCATTTACTTAAAATTATATCTATAAATCCAATGTTATAAATTAATGATAATATATTAAACTTGAAGAGAAAGAAATGCCCAAATTGGAGGAACCATCATGTTATCATCCAAGAATGACAGGCATTGGAAATACTCCCATTTTAGAATAAAAAACCCTGTCCTCCACTGCCACTTTTAAAGGTGAGCATTCTTTTTCCTCTCCCTTCTATACTGGGTCTTCATGTTTTTAAATTTTGCAAGCATCACATCTACAAATGTAAGCATACTTGCCAACCTATGACACTAAAAAATCAGAATATTTTTTTAAGAAATCAGGATATTTTTTACAATGTTAAAAAGACTTTTTAAATGATAAAAATATAGTTTTAATAATGAATTAACTTTAAATAGTTCTAATTCTTAATGCAAGCAACAAAAATATTACACATAAAAACATTTGTTATCACTCACTTGTCATCGTTTAAGAGGAAAAAAAAAAAGGACACTTTAATAAGTTTTGTACAATATTAGAACAGGGAGATTTTGCTTCGTTAAGAAAAACTTCAAATTTGTTCATAGCATTGCCACGTAGGCCTGCTTTCGCTAATAATTTTCTATGTGTCATCAACATATTGATCGAATTTAGTCCTAATTTTCGCAACACACTGAAAACCTCTCGCACTCTATGGGGAATTGTACAAGATGGCCACATAATTCTAGACAGCACTATAGTTAAAATCCATCAGCACCTTTAGTTTTCCAATTAAACTCCAAGGTGTCAATCCAGCTGTTTTTACTTCATCAAAGTTTTTCTATTGTTAACTGCAATTGGACTGCAATATATCAGTGGCAACATCAACATCTTTCATGACTAAATGAAGTAACACAGGAATATCTGAAGATTTATTTTTCAAACCCATTTTTTTAACAATTGCACCTGTTGTGGTCCTTGCACTTGAGTATTTCTTAGTGACTTCACTATCGGGAAACATTTTTCTAAATAAACTGATGCATTCAGCGGCAGGTTGTGCTCCAGTGAAAAGGTGCGTGATGATTGACTTATCGTGATGTCACCGTTGTGGCTAGTTTGATAGAGCCTGGATACGCAGTTAACAGGACTGCATTCCCAGCAATAACCTGCCAGTCAGTCAGTCAATAAAAAGGCAGAGAACAGACATTCTGCATTAGTAATTTTTAGTCTTTTGTTTCCGAAGAAAAATTTAATTTTTCGTTTTTTTCAAAACTACTTATGTTGTCCTTGTGAACGCACATGTTTAAGAACCACCCATCCACCATGTGAAATCGAAAAATCACATCGACAGATGGTACACATTGCAAATTTATTACATTTCCTTGAAAAAATAATGGAAGGAAAGTCAAATGTATTTGATTTTTGAAACATATGCAAGTATTTCACCTTTCTCGCAGACATAACAAAAGATGATAATTTCCCGAAGGCACGTGTACTCACACAATTCATGACAAGATGAATGAAATAACTAAAGAACATCCAAATAACAGCCTTGAGCTTGCTTTGTGCTCATTGGCTAATATATGCCAGATGACATGCAGTTGAGCTCGATGCTCATTGAGAACGGAGAACGACGTTTCTGGATATGTATGCTCTCGTCACAAGCAGAAATCCTCATCTATTCGCAAGGTTTGTTTAGATATAATCTAGAAAATTCAATGCTTCAGACGTTCAACCACTTTTTTTTTTTTTTTTTCCATACGAAGTATTAAGCCATTCCATAAAAATCGTGAGAAATTTTAAGAATAAGAAAAAGTCGGAAGTAATATATTGTAAATCGTCTTGGCGGGAGAGCAGTCGAAAATCGGGAGTCTCCCGCCTAAATCGGGAGAGTAGGCAACTCCGTGTAAGGTACACTCATAAATGTACATGCATTTCTTAACTAAACTGCAAAACAGATAATATTTGGAAGACTTCAGTTTTTACTGTTAACTTGAGAAATCAATCAACATTGAAAACAAATGTTCAGTTTTCTTGTCTTCTTGAATTTGTTAAAACATACAAAGAAATTGGATATGGTTATCAAGGTTGTTTATGAGTAGTGTACATGTTGTGTAAATCAAACAGAATTACGATAGAATTATGCAATTAATTTTAGTACTCTAACTTGTAGAGTTTCCCTTAGTTCAATTAATCAATTATTCAAATTTTTGTTATCTTTCCTTTACTCCTCAACTTCCTTTCGCATTTCATCACCAGGATGCTAATTTAAAGTTAAGTGAGAGTTTATTCAGAGTGTGTTTTTGATAGCCAGCGCATGTTACAATTCTGTCCTTGCTGTTACGCGGAATTGCTGATACAGTCAAAAGTCGTTAATTCGGACACCCATAATCCGGACCTCAAAGCTAAAAACTTTCTGCACATGCGCACAGGCGTTTTAAGCATGCGTGTAGCCCTGACTACGCGCATATGCGTGTCGCAAGTGCAGAATATGTTTTGCCTGCACGTTTAATTATAACGAAGGTGTAAGCTAAAATTATCTATTATCTATTTCAGTTAATGTTAATGATTGCGTTGTCCTTAGCTTCGAATGGATCCCGCTTATTATTTTTGCGACTTAAGAGCAATTTTATAAAGTAAACTTGGAACTTCGATTATGTCAAATAGAATTTCCGATGCTGCAACTCCAAAGGATCTACAAAACGAAGTATGTTTCGTGTCACAAAAAAAGTGGAATAGCTCAAAAATGATTAAGACAAGAATGTGAAGAGAGGGTGAAAATGAAAAATTTCGATTGCAAGTTAGTGGTATTCTCGGCCAGCAATTACGGACTTGAACGCGACTTTGGTACTGAACAAGAATTATGTCTTTTATAGAATTAAAGAGAAGTATTTCACGTAAAATGAGCAACTAACAACTTACATTGAAAGAATGTTTAATAAGTAAACAAAATATTAAGCTTTTTTTTTTTTTTTTTTTTTTTTTTTTGTATTTTGATATCCTTTAGATCATATTGTTCTTTATTTCATAATTACTGTTTCATAGTTTTTTTAGAATTTCTGCATGCCATCTTACGAGATTTAACTGATGATCTATAATCGGAATCGATAATCCGGAATCGCCGAAGTCCCGACGAGTCCGGATTAACGACTTTTGACTGTTCGCCTTTTTGGCTATTTAAATAATTATCACGCCCGGTAGATTGTCAAGTCAACCTAGTTAGCCTTAAGACGCTAGTCCAGCACTACTCTTTAGACTTGAATTTATTGTGTAACAATTCTGAAGTTTCACCACTAGTTTTCGATGTTATCGTAAAGCATGAAATATGTGCCCTTTTTCATAGCTGAAGATAATAAAGGGTCATTTTCACCCTTCTTCTATGCTGGTATTATTTCACGACTGTGCGAAAAGTAACCGGGTTCCTTAGCAGGATCTAGTACAGTTTACGTTGCCAAAGAAATCCTATAAACTCTTACATCAGTGCTCCTTACTAATTTGTACACTATCTACTTTATGACTAGAATCATGTTCAAGTAACAGATAAACCCACTTCTTGTTATAGCAATCAATTACACTAACTTGCCATTCATTACCAGACACCCCTAACTAGTATGTTAATTCTGTTTCAGCAGTCCATCAGTATCGTGTGAGGCCACCTTTCACCACAATTACATCTGAAATCGTTTGAGGAAGACATTCCACCAACTTGCGATAGGCTTCGATGGGAATCTTGCACAATTCCTCTTGCAAAGCAGCGAACAACTCTAGTGTTTTTTGGGCCACATTCTCCAGTGGTGCTCCAACTCGTCCCATAGATGCTCAATAAAGTTGATGTCAGGACTTTGGGCTGGCCAGTTAAGTTTTTGCACACCCGTGTCCTCGAAACACATGTTTATAACACCTGCAGTATGACATGGAAACAGACATGCTGAAACAGATATGGACCAATACCGAATTGTGCCCACACTGTCGGTAGTGTATAATTGTCCAGAACTGTTGAATACGAATCGGCAATAATTACTCCAGCATTAAAACAATAGGACCAAGACCTTACCATGGGAAGCCCGACCACACCATGATGCCACCTCTGCTGAATTTCACTGTGGGTACGATGCTCACAGTGCAAAAATGCATTAAAGCATTTTTACACTCATCTTTCCAGGACAGTTATACAAATAGTACATTATATATTCAAAGACAAAATTTTATAAAAACAATCAAAGCAGAATTCATTACAATCTTTTCGGAAAAAAAATAGAAATACAAAGAAATATTTAATTTTTTTTCTAGAAGCACAATTAAGAGAAACATTCAGTTCACATTGATTATACTAACGTCAGTGGAATGCACACATGTACACATATGCATAGCATTTTTAATCTGAATTACTTCACTTTCTGTAGTTTTCCAGTTTTCATGTTTTTGTTGCTGTCTTGATATTTTTAATATAAAATAATTTATGTATTGATATATCATTCATTTCAAATTACATGTAATACTTTTAGCCGCTGCATTTTGCAAAATACAAGCATTTAGAAGCTAAACCTTATCTCAGCAGTAGCATAAGCGATGCATTTAAGTTACGTAAATATATTGTTACGTTTTTTTCTTCCTTCACGTTCGTACGAGATTTATAGATTTGGAGTGAATAACGACGACACTTGATGAAGTATCGAAAAACACTTTATTAGCCAGTATTGTCAGGACAGCTCCAAAACACGTTTTACGGTTGTCGATGAACTACTATAAACACGCTGACACAATCAGCAACACAGCCTTCAGGTTATCAGGCTATCCCGGTGGAGACAGCTTCCTGTAAAGCACCCGACTCTGCTTGGTCGTTTTCGGAACTCCACGTACTCTCGAGACTCTCCACGCTACAACTCACAATGCACTCGACGACACACGAGCACAGCTCCTGACTCTTCGGTTCAGTCTTTCCCGGAGCTCAACACGCTCTCTCGACGATGCACTAACTGCGATACACTAACAGACTCCTTCAGTGGACTCGACGACCCACTTGGCAGTCGCTGCCCGGCTGTCAACTCGATCGACTCCGCAGGGATTGACTCGCTAGACGAGGCTCACACACTCTCGATGAAGCACACTCTAACTGACTGCGGACCAGCAGGGTTTATATAGCTTTCGGTTTGTGTTCGGGAACATTCTAGGGTACATTCTAGGGTAAACCGGAAAGAATTCGTTCCAGAAGGTTCTCCAACCGTCCATGGTATATTGCCAATTTTGTCGCCAAATGTGGAAACCCTGTCCTACTTGCTATTTTATGGCAACCCTAAAACTGCTTTGCATGGAAGCCATCTCACCGCGCCTTTATATTTCGTAACAATATTAAACAAAAGGGATGTTACAGACATTAAATGATAAGAATGAAACTTGAGAATTTTGAATTCCAAACAAGTGTAAAGTTTGTTGAATTTTTGCAATTTTCCTTTTGAGAAAGATGCAATTACATATTCTTCAAAAATAGGAATCTAATTGAAAAAGCTTAAATGTATGGAATTTTTTGTGCCTACACTGAAAATTCCCACTGAATAAATACCAACATATGCTCAAAAATAGTATTTTCATATTGCTCAAAAATAGTATTCAAATCATACTCCAGGTTTATTATATGTTACAAAATTCAATCCTACAGTGAAGTGAACAAGATCAAAACCGGAAAAATTAATAAACAAATATTGTAAAATAGCAAATGTTGTTAAAAACTGATATTGCAAAAATACAACATGATTAATAAATTTAGGATTAGGGATTTTTAGTTTTAATCAACTGTTAACTTGCCATTATGCATTATTGTTGCCTTTTTATTAAGGAAGAGGATATTTAGTGAAATATATATTCTCCAAAAAAACAAACCAGCAACAGCCAGATCAAATACAGTCAAAAGTTGTTAATCCAGACTCGTTGGGGCTTCGGCGATTCCGGATTATAGATCATCAGTTTAAATCTGGTAAGATGGCATGCAGAAATTATAAAATCAAAAATATGAAACCATAATTTATGAAATAAAGTACAATTATGATCTAAAGAGTATCAAAATTTACAAAAAAAGCTTAATATTTATTTGTTTACTTTATTAAACATTTCTTTCAATGTAAGTTGTTTAAGTTGCTTCGTTTTATGTGATAATACTTTCTCTTTAATTCTATAAACAGACATAATTCCTTGTTCAGTGACAAAGTTCTGCTGTTCAAGTCCTATGATTGCTGTGTTGAGAATACTGACTAATTTGTCAATCGAAATTTGTTCGTTTTCAATAACCTCTGTGTCACTTTCGTCACTATCGGAAGCGAATTATAACGACGAGGAATTTGATTTAAATCATATCAAAGACGATATACATCGAGATGAAATACTACATTTAGTAAGGAATTAAAAACATCTGCCCTGAACATAAGGATAGTGCTGACAGATCAACATCCAATTCATTGCGCGCCACGGCGTTTCCCCCCCCCCATGCTTAGAAATACGTCTACTTTAAGATGATGGTAAAAAATTTTATATATTATAATTCAAATTTGTTTTTGAAAAATTCATAAAAATTATTTAAATTTTTTTAAAAAAAAATCATAAAAAATTGGTGCATTTTATTTGGAATGAACCTAAATTTCGAAATGTGAAAGGAAGAATCAAATAAGTTTAATAAAGAAAGACAAATTAATAAATATATACCAAACTCAATTAACATGGAGGAACTAAAATTTTGAGAGCTAATTTTTTAAAAACTACTCGTGCAATTTTTACAAAACTTGGTAGTTTGGCGTAATTTCAGTCGTAGAATTGAAATATGGAAAAAAAAATTGGTATGTTATTTCACAAAAAGTCTGTTTTTATGTCAAAATACATATATTAGAACAATGCTATATATAAATCTAATACCAGGGTTTGTACACATTTCTGCATATGGAAATTAAGCAAGGACCATTAATGAAAAAATTAAATACCTATGAGCAAATGGAAATTGCATAAATTCAATTAAAAATATTATTTATGCCTGAATTTCACTTTTGTAACACCATCCTAAAAATAAAATATATCCCTAAGTAATATTTATTACTAAACATGAATTAAGCTTGAGAATAAAATGAACTTTATGCAGTTTATCAAGTAGCATTAAATATTTTACACTTATATTAGTTGGTCATATTTGAAAGAAGATAAGTGACATTTACATTTTACTAACAGTTAGCTTTATGTTGATCATTTGTCACTTACTTGGTCAGTCTAGAGGTTTAGTGAATCGGTTCTGACTCTGTCTTCACTCTCGCCAGAAGATAATAACATCTGGAAAGCCACTAATAAGCTTACGAGATGCTACACAACCATTCCGCCCCTAAATTGCCTACACCGAATCTGAGTCACTTGCTGATCACTATGCTACTCAGTTATGCACTAACAACATAACATTGTAACGAGCACATCCATCTCCAGCCAATTTTTGATTCTCTTCTCTTGTTGCTTGTCATCGGTACCTGGCACTTGGGGCAAGGTGGTGCCTCATCCTCCCTTGGAAGAAGTCCAGCATCGGTGGCAAACTCGAGTGCAGCTGCCTCTGTATTAATTAAATGCATGTCAGTAATTAAACAGAAATATTTCAGTTTTTCATGCAAAGAAGCCATATTCAAAAAAGTCAGTACAGTGACAGAAATAGTTTAATGAAATTTATTGTTAGAAATTTCAGAAACTTGGCAATTATGCAAAAGTCAAAATTATCAGAACTAGGAAAGTTTAATAAAGATGAAAAGTAATTATAAGTTTAATTAAACAATATTAGTTCATTATAGATTAGAAGTGAAAAGTTCAAACTAGAAAGTACTGTTACAAAAATAAGGAAAATAATAATAGTAATGATAAGGATCTATAAAAACAAATTTCAAGTGAAAAATAATATTAAAAAATGTAATGGATGAAAATAGATTAAAAGTAAACTTAGCTTTGGCAAAGTCCAAACCACGTTTTCACGTAAGTACCGAGGTACTGATTTTTTTCAGTACCTGACAGACAGACAGACAGACAGCTGCACGGGCTTAACCGCGGCAAAATATGATCGCGAAAAATCTTTTTTTTTTAAATTTATTTAAAATATTTTCGAAAAAAAAATATTTTACTTTACAAATAAATGTTTTTCGGTACATGTTTTTTTAAAACATTTTTAAACAGAGATGCAGAAGAATAATAGGTATTGTTATTTTTGTGTGCAGATATGCGTGCGTGATGAACTAAAAAATGATTTTGAAGGTTTCGTGGCATATTTATCCTCTCAAAAATATGCAACTTGCTCAACTTTTCGATTTTATTAAATTAAATAAGGCCTATCGATTTTTTTTTTTTTTTTTTTTTTTAAGCACTGACAATGAAAGCTGTTATGTTCTATTTTTTTGTTTTTATCCCAAAGCGCGTTAGCCCAGAAGGGCTATTAATTTCGTTTTCGCATTTTGCGTTGTTGAACTGTTTCTACCGAATATTATCGCTGTGTGTTATATTTAAAGATATTTAATAATAAAGAATCAGCATAAATATACGTATGTTTAACGTACATAACATTTATGCAGATACTGTGATAAAACAACGGTACCTACAGCTATGAAATTTTGAATATGTACGTCACCACCCGAATATGGGCATCTGAAAGCTCAAATTTGTAATTTGTTTTATTAACTATTTAACATTTTGTAAAGCATTTATGTGTTTTTGATTAAGAAACTCGACGATTTCTAAGCGAGCAATGGCAACACTGTTCGGCGCAAGACTGTCTATCGGAAATTCTAAAGATATGCTCTTCTTTTAAATGTTTTGTCATATTGCTGCTTAAGAGAGAAGACAATTCGGATGTACAAAATTTAAAAGTGTCTGTGTTGATTTTGAAAATTCATTTCCATTGAATTTAACAATTGTTTTCAGTTGGTGAGAGGTATTTATACGTCTCTATCGTACGTTATTATTGGTACCCTTTAATTGTTGGTTATTTGTTTTTTTTTTTGTCTTTCATATTGCCCTGGCTGCATTGGAAATTTCGTGGTTTTCCTCGTGTGTATACGAGCCAGTACAATTACACTAATGAATCATATCACTTAAATAATGTGAATAATTATAGAATTATTATATAAGTGTAGAATAATTGGGTTGGTTGTTATGTTCACGAGTTGTGTGTAAATGCGTGGCTTTGTGTGATTATGTAATTAATTAATGAAGATTTCAGCAGCGGCCTGGCGGTAAAGTGTGTGAGCACTGGTAGTTCTGTCCGAAGTTCGAATCCCGCTAATGCGCTGGTGTTTTCCTACAAGGAATATGGTAAAGCGGGCATTTCAATGCAATAATACTAAGCCCCTGTGTACTTAGCGTTCTTAACAGGACACATCCCGAAGATCTCTTCTGCAAAAGGAAAAGGGCTAGAAATATTTTGAAAAAACAAATCAGTGGAACCGCTGGGTTAAGTGTGTGGGGTCGCACAAAACTCAAAATTGTTCTGCAAAGCGACTAGAAAATGTTATGTGTTGCAACTGCCTCCAGTCGAGACATACCCCGAATTATCGTGGATGTCCGAAATTTCCTAAAGTGTACAAAAATTCTAACTAACTCAGCATCGATGGGTGAAGCCACATCTTTAAATATGTGTATTGCCAGGCAATTTTTTTATGATACAGTATAAAATCTTTAATCCGGACCTCAAAGCTACAAACTTTCTGCGCATGCGTAAACGCATAATGCGTTTCATGTATAACGGATGATATAAGCTAGGCTAAAAATTATCTATTTCACTTAACGTTGCAGATTGCGTTGTTCCTTAATCTTCCAATTGGATCCGGCTTATTATTTTTTGCACACTGTTAGAGCAATTTTATAAAAAGTAAGCTTGAACTTTCGATTATGTCAAAAAGAGTTTCCAATTCTGGGGCTGTCAAAGGATCTACAAAGCGAAAGCATGTTTCAATGTCCATTAAACAAAAAGTGGAATTGCTGCAAAAAAGTGGATAAAGGCATGAAGAAAGTGACAGAGAAGTGATTTGTTTTTCTAACCATTCCGAAATCTGTTTATCAATTTCACGCTGCTCTGCGGGAGGGGGGGGCATGAACTGGAAGTTGATCTGTCAGCACTATCCTCATCTTCAGGGCAGATGTTTTTATTTTATTTGGCTTATAATTCCTTACTAAATGTAGTGTTTCATCTCGATGTACTTTGATATAATTTAAATCAATTTCCTCGTTATTATAAATATCACGAATACACATCAAATAGTTTTCTGTTTGCAATTTTCTAATTTTGACTATGTGTTTCATATTTTTAATTATGCAATTTCTGCATGCCATCTTACCAGATTTAAATTGAGGATCTATAATCCGGAAAAAACCCTAATCAGGAATCGCTGAAGTCCCGACAAGTCCGGATTAAAGACTTTGTACTGTATTATGGGACACCATGCGTCTTTGAATTCGAAAGGGTTCTTTCTTCCATTTCGTTGTTTCATCTTTTCCAACAAAATACAGTCAAAGGTCGTTAATCCGGACTCGTCGGGACTTCGGCGATTCCGGATTATCGATTTTTCCGGATTATAGATCATCAGTTTAAATCTTGTTAGATGGCATGCAGAAATTCTAAAATTAAAAATATAAAACCGTAATTTATGAAATAAAGAACAATTATGATCTAAAGGGTATCAAAATTTGCAAAAAGAAAAAGCTTAATATTTATTTGTTTACTTTATTAAACATTTCTTTCAATGTAAGTTGTTTAAGTTTTGCTTCGTTTCATGTGATAATACTTTCTCTTTAATTCTATTAAACAGACATAATTTCTTGTTCAGTTACAAAGTTCCGCTGTTTAAGTCCTATAATTGCTGTGTCGAGAACACCGATTAATTTGTGAATCAAAATTTTTTCGTTTTCAATAACCTCTGTCACTTTTCTTCGCTATCGGAAGCAAATTATAATGACGAGGAACTTGTTTTAAATCATATCAAAGACGGAGCATATCGAGATGAAATACTACATTTGGTAAGGAATTATAAGCCAAATAAAATAAAAACATCTGCGCTGAACATAAGGATAGTGCTGACAGATCAACTTCCAATTCATTATGCGCTTGCCGCGGCGTTCCCCCCGCCGAGCAGCGTGAAATTGGTAAACAGATTTCAGAACATACTTTCGCTTTAGATCCTTTACACATTAACAAATATATATCGGAAATTCTATTTGATATAATCGAAAGTTTAAGCTTACATTTATAAAATTTAGTTTTCGTCTGCTTGTTGCTGCGGGTATTCTCCGTCCATTGCGGCCAGTATTCACTGCTTGGCATTTTTAAATGCAGTTTATCGGTTTGTGGGCAGTTGAAGAGGAAGTGATCTGCATCACCTAACGCACCACATTCACACAAATCTGATGCTCGTCTGCCGAATCTCTTAAGATAATGTGGGAAGGGACCATGGCCAGTGTAGAATTGAGTTTGTGCTCCGCTGTATGTATTAACTGAGCACGTGACTTTTGGAAGGAACTTGTAGGTTCTCCTCCCAGTGCCTTCCCTTTCCCATCTTTTCTGTCATTCTTGTAAAAGGCTATTGAGCATGGTTTCTTTTTAAATAGGACTGCAGAATACTTACTGCGTTTTCCAATCTACTGGAGTCATTGGCAGCAGATTTCGCAAGCAGGTCCGCCGCTTCGTTGCCAGTAATACCCACATGAGCTGGAACCCAGATCAGGATAGGTCTGTCATCTGGTGGGATACTAAGAAGAATTTTCTGAATATCTTGCACCAAAGGACTCATTGTCTTGTGCCCTTGGATGGACTCCAAACTTGAGGCAGAGTCGCTATATATGTTGACCTTTAATCCTAATTGATATTTTGCCAAATTGATGGCTGCTTTTAATGCAAGAAGCTCTGCCTGAAAGACAGTATTTTTGTCTAAAAGTCGTCTTTCCCAAGTTTTAACCACTTCTCCTTCTTGGAGTACACAGTAGGCGCAGCCTGTGCCTTTCTCCGTCTTTGAGCCATCTGTATAAATAGCAAATGCCTTTTCATTTGGCAGCGTGTATTGCATGTATATTGTGTGCGATAAATCAGTATCTGCAGAGTGTCCAAACATGATTGGCTTGTGCTTCTCATAGTCTGTATGGTAGAATGTCTTTTGCCACAGAGAGACATTTTCTAGGCGCAATGTCCTTACTAATAGTGAATCTCACTCCACTAGTAGGTCCAGTGGAGGTATACCCGGCAGTACTTGCAGTGCCGTAGTTGGGGATGCATATGATCAAAAGTTGCATTCTTTGTATGGTGAGAAGCTGCCTCCTCATATGGGCAGTAAGCTTCCTTCCCCATATGGCAGCCCCATATAATATGATCTTTTCTGAGATTGTTCTGTACCAGCTTTTGAGCATAGTGATTGGAGTGCCCCAATGAGATCCTGATGTTCTAACCATGGAATTACTAAGTTGATTTATTTTCTGCTTAAGCTCTTTAATATGTGATACCCAGGAAAGCATCTATGTTAAATATAATACCTAGATATTTAAGGTCAAGTGGTCTTTTTTATACAGACTCCTAGGTTGGTAGGTTCAAAAGGTTAATGTTGGGAATCCTATTTCGCGCTCCATGCTTACATATAAACAGTTGTTTAGTTTTATCTGCTGAGATATTTAATTTGCGCTGATTTGCTCAGCTTGCAAAAGTATTGAATGCGTTTTGTGCCGTTAACCTAATGTCCGTGCTACCAGAAAT